AGATTCAAATTCCAGGACATGAACTTCATGATGCACTGAGCAAAAAAACATACCTTGTTCTATATGCCTTCCGTCTTGGGAATGAGACCTTGAGATGGGTTCATGGGTCATGGCTCGAAGTTTCTTGTCACGAGAGGATCGTAGTCATAGGCTTCCCCTGCTTTCACGAATCGGCCTTTAACCCTTTTTCTAGTATCAGCTCTGGCTTTGCGAGATGCGTATCGTATTTGCTTTCCAAATCTGAACATAAAGGAGGTGCAAAGATCATCAAAAGAGGTACCTCTCTTTGTCACAATTCAGAATCTTTATCTCAACGGAAGAAGCCACGATGATGCATGAAGATACCCTTCTAAACATGCTATCTAAAGAGATGAATGAAAACGATGGTAATTAGACGAGCAAGGCTAATTCATGCCAAAAAAAAAGGAGAAAATTAAAAAAGAAGATACCTACGTTCTTGTTTTCTTCTTTTCATTGTATCTCATCTTGGCTTTATCCCTGTTCCGATCCTTTACTTGTGGAACAATAGCTTCCATGCTAGGGTCCCATGACGTTTCTCCCAAAAACCCCGGTGATAAACCGCAGTCTTGATAATCTGTACCACTGCTTTCGCCAGTTATATTTGAGAGTGAAAGTGATATGGTTGAATGAACCTGAGCAGTAGTAGGAAATCCAATGTTGAGGTTTCCATTGCAACTAGGATTCATAACCATGCAAGTTGAATTCCCATTTTGAATCGTGTTCATGGAAAGTCCGACTTGAGATGATTGAAATCCCATAAAATCTTGTTGCCCAGATAATGAATCCTAAATTAAAACGAAATGCTCAGCACAACCAAAAGAGCAGAGTTGAATGTTTTTATTAGATGCGATGGAGCCACATTATATGCCAAACATTGATATCATACAGTCATACATACATACATACATACCTCAACAGGATTCTCAACAGTATTCTCAACAGGGCCATTAGATTCAGTAGACAAATTTTTCCCCATTAGAAAACATTCCAATTCTCCAGCTCCAAAATGGCATTTCATTGTACCTTGCGAACAGCCAAACAGCTCTTCCTCAGTTTCCAAGTTGAGTGAAGCATCGCCAAGATTGAGACCCTCGCAAATATCATTGTTCTCATGAGTTTCAACATCCTTCAAATCGGAACAACCCTACAACAGTAAACACATCGCAGAACCATATGCACATTTGGATCTAATCAGATCGGCAAGAGATAAAACAAAATTAAGAAACCCTACCTTGGGAAGATTGGAGTCATCGGAGAGAAATGAGGGTTGAGGTCTGGACAAAGGCAAGTGATAAGAAGGATTCAGAGTAAAGGAAGAAGCAGGAGCAGCGATCCAGGGGTCGAACTTAGAGCAGTCATTGAACTTAGCAGGGAGCAATTGAGGAGAATCAACATCGGAGAAAGAAATGGAATCGGTATTGATGGAGGAGGGGGTGGGCCAGTGAGAAGGAGCATCGGAAGAGACGTCGAGAACGGAAGACCAAATTCGTGAAAACTCAGGGATGGAAGGGCAAGGAGAGTAGGAAGGAAGATCCTGAATAGGGGGACCCATGGAGGAACAAAGGTCGCAGTTCCATCCATAGGCCTGACAGAGCGGACATTTATGATTCATACAGCAGGCAATGGCGGGGTGAGCGTTGCACTTATCTCACAGCACTGAGCGAATATGGCGTCGTGATAGAGAATTAGCGGAGTGGACGAAGCCATCGCAGGTGAAACAAAGACGGGCACAATCGGATTTACAGTAAACAACCGCTATCATCATTCCACAGAAGTCGCAGAGAGGTTCCATAATTAACTCCTCTTCCGTTTGAATCATTGAATAATAATTTTTTTTTATATTATTTTTCATTTTTTTTAATTTTTTTTTTAATTTTTAATTCCTTGGCTTTACCGAATTTAAGCTCGTGGCGGGAATTCGGCTTTATTGTTGTATTCTTCCAACAGAAAAAGTGCCTTCATTCATATTTCTGGGATGACTACTCTATACCTAAAGAGCCTTTGCTCTTTTTTTCTTTCTTTTTTTTTTCTTTTTTTTTTTTACAAGAAAAATAATTATAAAGGTTTAGTAAAAGAAAATGTAATATGTATAATCTATAAAATATTATAATTTTCAATCAAAACGAACCAAAAATGAATTATGTAACCGTTCAAGCTTACCTAGATATTGTTTGTTTTGACTCGTTATGTATCGTTGTTGTCAGCCTCACAATTTTAAAATAACTGGAGAGGAGAATCAAGCATTGTTTATAAGGGTGTGAAAATCTCTCTCCAGTAGACACGTTTTGATTCGTGAGACTAATGGCTATATGTAAGAGGCAAAAACGAACAATATTTGCTAGCGGTGGGCTTGAGTTGTTACAAATGATATCGAAGCTAGATATTGGACAGTATGCCCGCGATGACGCTGGGCTCTGCCCAAGAGGTGGATTATGAGATCCCATGTTTTTAGAATCACTAGACTGAAGGTGATATGGGTCAAAGAGAATAATATATGTTAGTGCAGTGGACTTGATCTTTTAAAAATTTTGTGTGATTTAATGAAAGTATTTGTATGGAACAAAAAAGGAAGCAAATGTATATATGAAACGTTAGGTCATAGATTGAAGTAGAACATCTAAATTGGCCATATTAAGCTTGTTTCTAACGGTTGACGATATTGTCGCTTATAGTTTTGTTTACACCGTTGCTTTGCAATCTTGTTCACTCTCCTGAATGAATTATTCCTCTGCAAAACGCTTTATTAATTTGATTTTATTAAAAATTAAAATAAATTTGGTAAATTCACTATTCCAGATCTTCCCCAGCCTATAGATTAGATCCGTGATCTACTATAGTCAATTCAGTAGATCATTAATAAAAAAATTCTATCTTCTGTCTATTTTTTGAATATTTTAGGCAACTTTCTAATATTTCTAGTATGAAGTTTAGTCTAAAAAATTTTGCTTCAAAACAATGGCATTATTTAAAGTAACATTACCATAATATTTTGTTAAAATAATATATTTGAAAATCTAATATATTATTATTTAAGTTATTTTTAAATATTATAAAATATCCCTATATATTTAACGGATTGGAATGCATATTAATTCTTTTATTTAAATTTATTTTTTATTTTTTATTTAATATATCTAATATATTAAATATTATTTATTTTTTCGTATTTAACATATCTAATATATGATTGTATTGTGAAATATTAATTTTCTCAATTAACGAATTTAAAAAGAAATATTAAATATTTTGTAATCCAGTCATATACAAATTTAAACTCATCATCTTCGGTCACATCATTTATATTTTATAAACAATATAAAATACTATATTATCGCATTCATTATAGCTATAAAAAAACGTTATAAAAAATTTTAAGGCTTTTAATAATATAGATTATGACGTATAATATATTTTCTTAAGCTATCGTATCCATTATTTCTTATTTTTAAAAGTCAACTAACGAGTCGACCTTTGTCCCGTGCTGAGGCGAAATGGTGAGATTAGACTTGGACCCAAATTCGAATGTGCCAAAGTGGAATGGGATGCCAAATTTCAATTACAAACAAGAAAGCCACAGCCACCAGCTCCACGAATGGCTGATGATGTTCGGAGAAAATCCATATCACTTTATCTACCCATTCAAACAGTTTGGCCGGTGGACCCATGTCCTATTGCTTTCTCAGCCAGCCCAGCATGTACGTACACGTGTCAGTCACCAGTCAAAACCTGCCCGATAACATTATTCCAATACCTCCCATCACTCATTCCATTACTTCTGAGCCATTCACCACTTCCGGATCATATGGTGGCTTTCTAAATGCTAACCGGCAACGACTTCCCAGCCAACGGCCTTGCCGAGGGCGACAACGTGGCCGAGCCAACCCCAAGAGTGCTCATCATATTAGCCTGTGTGCTGGACCGGCTAGTGGCCCGTAATGACCGCATCGCAGATGGCATCACTCACCAGATCGAGGAGTCGAGCAGCTGCGGCACTAGCCATATCGGGAACAGCTTCAACGCCTTCCATGGAGTCAGAGCGCCTGCCATCTCCATATTGAAGTACTTAGAGAGAATCTACAAATACACCAATTGTAGCCCTTCTTGTCTCGTGGTTGGATTTGTTTACATCGATAGGCTAATCCATCGACATCCCAATTCGCTCGTCATCTCCTTGAACGTTCATAGGCTCCTTGTCACGAGCATCATGGTTGCCTCTAAGATCCTCGACGACGTGTGAGTCTCTAAATTCCAAATTTTAAATTTATTAAGAATATTTAGCATTTCATTACCGTTTATCATAAATACCATATTTGAGTGCAGACATTACAATAATGCGTTTTACGCGAGGGTGGGAGGGGTGAATAAAGTGGAGTTGAACAAGCTCGAGTTAGAGCTGCTTTTTCTATTGGATTTTGGAGTGACGGTTAGCTCTAGGGCTTTCGAAACCTATTGCTTGCACTTGGAGAAAGAGATGTTGTTGAATGGTAATGGAGAGTTGCAGAGGATTGAAAGACCGTTAATGGCTACCAATAGCTTGGACGATGTGTCCGAGATTTCAGTGGACGACACTCTGGCTTCCTCTTCGCCCCCTTAGCAATCCACTAATTCAGCTACTTCATTATGTTGTAATGTATATTTTTTCAATTAAACACTCTGAGTTTGGAGATAGAAATTACATTTTTAGTATATAACAATTTTGTCGGTATGGATTAATATGAGATTATCAGGAAAAATCTAGCTCATATTATAAATATTAGAATATACTAACAATTTTGTCGAGATAAATATACTTAATTAATTAACTAAATAGGATTACAGATACAATGTTAATATTTAAAATTAAATAATAGAGAATTTCACGTTATCAAAATTTAGAAAATTTTAAATTTTAAAAATCTATTTATTTTTAATATTATATATTTTAGTTATTATTATTATTATTTTGGTCTAAGATTTCGTATTAAGCAAGCCCAGTATTGGAAAGCCCATAAATGGTACGGAGGAGGTGCCGTTTGCCGGGCTCACCGTGTCCTCTCTCTTCCTCCGCGGGGCGACGGGGAAAAATAGGGAACTAAAAGTCGAAAAATCGAGGCGTTAATAATTCAGGACTTGTATCCACCGTTGACGCAATTTCTTCTGCAATTCTTCCAAATCTCTCTACTGCATCAACAATTCCACTTCGATTTCCGCACTAAAGTTCCCGAGTTTTATCCGCATCCTTCTGCTCCGCGCCAATTTGCAGGTTGTATTATTGGATATTCGAATCACGAGAAGATTCATAGGCGCGTCTTTGAGTTCTCAAATGGCTGAAAGTTCTTCCAAAGATGACTTACTCCAGTTGATCAAGCGCCTCGGGGCTTATCTCACTGTCAAGATGTCTGATTTTTTCCCGATCTCTACTCAGAATCTGGTTCTAATCTCTAACCCTGTTTTCTTCTTTTGTTCGTTTTTTGATGGATCTGACCGGCTTTAGGTTGCTGCTACCGAGTTTTTTCACGCTGGATGTCTGATATATTTTGATCACCCAATTTTGTTTTCGGCTTTTTTTTTCTGTGTATTCTGTTCTTTTTTCAACATTCGAGCTGTGGATTATTATTTTTTTTTCTTATGAATTATATGCTTCAATTACAACGGTTAATACTTTATGTTCTTCGATTTTGTAATTGATATTCAACAATTCACCACGCTGACAAATGATGCGGAAAGACTTCTCTTTCGAATTGGAGCTTTGTGCTACGAGGTCCGTTCGTCATATTTGGCGTAGAGACCTGGCGAAGCTGTTGTATGCTTTACCAGAAAAGTTAATATTGTTTTTATTCTGCAGTGCTTAACGCTTCGAGGATGGTATATTGTGTTCAATTATGAGATTTAGGTCCATGCCAATTGTTAATCCCAAATCTTTGTCCCAGACAAAGAATAGGTCAGCAATAAAGCATTTGATAGATACCACTTGTTATGGACAAGAGACATCCACAATGATGTGTTATCATTCATTTTGAGCATACGTTCTCATGACTTTATTTTAGGTTTTCCCAAAAGACCTTATACCTATTGGAGATAATGTCCCTCACTTATATACTCTCGATCTTCTCCTTATTTAGCTAATGTAATGTGGGATTTTGGTCACACCCACAATCCTCCCTTCGAACAAAATATCATCGTGCCTCAACAATCCTTGCTTTAGATAATGTACCACCGAGTCTCTCCTCAAATAGATCACCTATCCATCTAACACTTAAACAGGCGAGCTCCTTCTCACCTCTTTGATGGAGCTTTACCACAGATCTCTACTATGACCATTCGAGGTCCATGATTTCTTTGTTGGACACTCAAGGATTTTACTGTCATGGTTAAGTTAAGGGCATGACTCTGATACCACTTGTTATGAACCGGGAATTATTTCATTGGTTTGATTTGTAGTTGAAGGACTCCTAGTTTCCTAGTTTATGAGAACTAGGGAGATTGAAACGATGGTGCCTTTCAATTGCTATTAGAATTTTTTAATTATTTTGGTTAAACTTCATACATCCTAAAGTTATTTTAAAGGGGTTCCCGTGCACATTTTCACTTATCTATTTTTGGAATCTTTTAATTGATTTTATTTTATAAAATTGCCAGTTTTTAGTAATGGCTTTGACCGATGCATGTATAGAAAGTCGGGTCATTGCAGAGTCCTTTGGGAGAAACAGAAAGAAAGAAGGAAAAGAATGTTGAAGACTCTTTTGATCTTCTTAATGGACTCTAGTCTTTGGATCTTTTAGGGACTGAGAAATAGAGCTGTGTTAGGAAATTAGATTTTTTATTTATTTTTTCATTGGGTTCATAATATCCAAAAAATAGATAAACTTAAGGTTTGAGCCAAATCAGTCCTTTTGCTGGTCTAGTTTGTTTCAAATATTGATGGTTCTTTTTGTTTGGGTGGTTGGAAAGTGCTTCAGTTTTTGGCCTTTTGGTCTTGCTTGGTTCAAATTTAAATAGAAGTCGATAGCTCAGTTCATTTTCTGTTTTGGCTTAAATAATGTAAATGTTTTTTGTGTTTACCGTTTCTGATTTGTATGATAGAACATTATGTTGTTTCTCCTTTGATACTAATCAACAAATAAGGGAAAAGGGTAATTTGGTGTCTGACTAAGTCTTGAAATTTTATCAGGATTCACGGTCTGTTGGGGCAATTGCTGGAGTTGCTGTTGCAATAATTTTCACATGGAAGCTGTTGGGATCATCTAATGGACATCAGAGGCGACAACCAAAAAGGCAAACGCCTGCAGCAAGTAGTTCTACTTATAATGTTGGGTTAAATTCAAGTGAACCATTGATATCTTCTGGAGTTTGTTCATCTTCAGGGGATTTAAGAGCGCACAACGTTGTTGATGAATTCTTTCAGCCGGTCAAGGTTAGAGCTCACATTATGGCCTATATCTTCTCATGCCTTTTTAATTTTGTTCCATTCACATGACACGTGTTTAAGATTTCCTCTCATACCTTTCCTTGTAGCCGACTCTGGGCCAAATAGTGAGGCAAAAATTGAGTGACGGAAGAAAGGTAACCAATATTCACCTTTGTTATTCATCTTTATCTTCTCAGAAGCTTTACCTTGTTATGTGGAATTTTGGTGAAATATCAATATATGAAATTGTATGAAGCTTATATAAGGCAAGAAAGAGTCAGTTTTGGTACTGAAAATGTTCCATGTCTAGGTAACATGTCGTTTGCTTGGAATAATTCTCGAGGAAAACAGTCCAGAGGATCTACAGGTATTTAGCCTTTTCCTCTTAACAAATTTTGTGCTTGAAACTGCTTTTGGGAATATCTAATTTCGTTTACTTTGTTTTGCATCAGAAACAAGCCACTGTGAGGTCCTCAGTGTTGGAAGTACTGTTGGAGATAACAAAATATTGTGATCTTTATGTCATGGAAACAGTGCTGGATGATGAGAGCGAAGTAAGTGCAATGCTTTATGGAATTTTATGATTTTTCTTAATTCCTACATAATATCTTGATAAACTTGTTTGATTTCTGATGTTAGCTTTGGTATGGTTCGAACGATTATTGTGCTTCACCTTGAAGACAAAATCTCTTCCCACTCAAGTTTACTTTTCTGACATTCTAAGATTTGTATATGTTTTCTCGTGGTTAGGATGTCAGGCTATTTTTTTTTCCCTCCACTCGTGCAAATCAGAGGTTGAAAAATTAATCAAATTGGCCGAACTGGCATAATCAATATTGTTAGAAACCAACTGAATACTCCTTGAACATGGGACCTTAAAAAATCAAACTCACTTTGTTCAAGTGTTCGGTCGTGTTTGTGCATTTTTCTCACCAGCCTGCAACGTTTGTGCACTACACTTTCTGTACACGCTTACCACACATGCTGGTCCTTGCAACATTTCAAGTTGTGAACCGTAGCCCCCTACTACTGCGCGTGCACACATTAAGCAATGCCATTAGCCATCCTAAGTCCACCCCAGTTATTGAGTTATGTGTATAGGCTACTTGCCCATTATCTAGCACACGTCAGCGTTGCTAATGCCAACACTCTTGTTCTGTGGTGTTGGTTGGGTGGGGTTGACTGTGTTTCCTGTTTTTGACATTTCATAGAAACATGCTTTCTTAAGACTCATAGGTTCTTGATACATTATATTTTTTTCTTGTTGTTTCTCTTCTTGTTGATCTCATATGTTATTCGTTTTTATTTTAAGACATAAATTATTTATGCAGAAAAGAGTTCTTTTGGCACTCGAAGATGCAGGGGTTTTCACATCTGATGGTCTAGTCAAAGACAAGGTTCTTAACTGTGCTTGTTTTGATTTTGATAATATTGAAACAATTCTGTTTATTTTATTTTCTTATCTTAGGCACGTTTGATAGTTATATAGTTTTTTTTTTTTTTTTTTTTTTTTTTTTTTTTTTTTTTTTTTTTTTTTTTTTTTTTTTTTTTTTTTTTTTTTGTTTATAAAAATTAAGCTTATAAACACTCTTAAACCAATAAGTTTCTTTGTTTCCCTATCGACTTTGTATAAATGTTTTCAAAACATAAAAAAGTAGTTTTATTTTTGAAGTTTGGCTAGGAATTAAAATATTTCCTTGAGAAAGATGTTAAAAAATTGTGGGAAACAATCACAATTTTCAAAAACCAAAAACGGTAGAATTTGTTTAGGTGTCTGCAGTTTCCAACCTTAAAACATGTAGCAGACGACAGCTTTTGGTATCTCTGAATCCCTTAACTGGAACTTCTCATAAAGGTAGTTGACTTGGTAACTGCACAAGCTTTGATTAGAAGCAAAATCGTCCTTTGAATCGTTTGGTGTTAAAACCTGGAGAAAAACAGGGGACGCCATACATGGCAATTTCCTTGGCTTTTAATTAATTGAGCATTTTCTGTAGGTTCTCTTCTGTAGCATGGAGAACGGGCGAGCATCTTTCGTGCGTCAACTGGAACCCGATTGGCATATAGATTCCAATCACGATATCATTTCTCAGTTAGCTGTAAGTTAACCATCCATCATGTTAGCAAGTTTTATTGTTCTCTAGCACCTGCAAATACATGGTGATCACTGATATTTTTCCTTTACTCATCACCAGAGGTTCATCAAATATCAACTTCACGTAGCTCCAATCAAACACGAGCGAGCTGCTTCTAACGTTTACTGCTCTCCATCCTTGGAACAGTTCTTTGGAAACATTTGACTTGAAACCAGTTCAAGAATGGAATTAACTTTCAAATATAGTTTATCATTTTATTTGGGCCTTGTTGATTGTTATTGCATTTGGTTCTCTTTGGGAACGAAGCAAAGCTCAGTTTGCACTAGGCCGCCGTTGCTGGTGTTAGATAAGATAGGTGTACCATGCTTTTTTCTTTTTTGTGTTTCTGCAAAGATATTGTGGTGTCTTTGGCAGAGCAACTTTATGTCCCATCAATAGATACCTAGTTTAACTGATGTAATTTATTAGATCTTCTCAGGCATGACAAATGCCATTTGGGTCACCAATTTTATGTCACTTTTCTTGGACAAAACTTGAAAGTCTGGACTTTTCCAACGAAAACTAAGTTGATATGATATAATCTTCATGTTTAAAATGGTGGTATGACCTAAAACATTGAGATTAGAAACCTAATTGTAAATAAGCTTAATAATAATCTATGCTTGACGAGATCAATTAATGAGAGACTGAATTGCTTTCTCATAATTTTTAAAAGGAGTGTTCTAAGAAGTTTCTTCCTACATTTTTTGCCTCCATGATGAACTTTCACTGTTTCAAACATCTATACGCAAGACATTCTGCTAAAGCAAAACCTCAAAAGAAAAGATAATAATTACACATTTGCACGCACGGACACCTAGAAAAGAAAAGATAATAATGAGAAAAATTGATTTGTTATTGCAAGTTTGTGGTTTAATCATTCTGCTAAAGCAAAACCTCAAGCAAAGTGGACTCGTTTAACAAGTCTAAAATGGTTCTATAATGAAGCTGACTGTATAAGCTGCATATTTGTTGATCATTTTTATAGCATTCATTGCAGCAGGTGAGTCATTGGCCAAGTCCAACTTCAATGGCGTTATTTTCTGCAAGCAAGGTAGATGCCAGATATGATTGCAACTCCAGCAACTGCAATGCCTAGTGACGTAAAGATCTTTACAACAGGGACTCGCTTTTGCTCCGGCATTTCCAAAAGATCCTTGAGCTGCAATTTCCAGAAAAATATACATGGCAGAGTGAGGCTGCATTCGAATCTTTACTATAAAGAGGAACGATGGTCGTAGCCCCGTTGAGTTCCTTAAAAATGGGAGAATCTAGCCTACCTTAACAGGCTGCTGCCAATTCTTCTTGATTCCATTTAGGTGACCTTTCCCGACAACCGCAACAACTGAACGATGCTCCTTGGCTACTCTTAGCAACGTAGTGGACATGTACCTGAAACGTGTATAGATAGGGGCAAAAAAATAGTCAAGAATGTGAAAAATGGATGTCGAAAAAATAAAAAACCTAATGCAAACAATAATGAAGGATATATGATATGAAATCAGAGCACCAGTCATTGAGAAGATAAATGATTTTGATTTGTAAGGTTAGAACTTTTTTAAGAGTTGGACATCCCATGAAGAATCTTCCTACAGTTCCATGAAATACAAATCAAGGGGGAACGCAGTATTCTTTATTTTATAATGTAACCAGTAACCATGTTTCTTAGTCCAGCGAAACAACTCAAGCATGAATGAGAATCATGTCTCTTTAAGTTTATGGGATTGTTTGACAATTTGTTGAAGAGAACAATTTTTAAGAATTGTAATAGGAGGCCTTGGCATAAAGATTTGGGTTATCATGCACTTAAAAATAGAAGTCGCTAACATCATAATTTCCATAGTGAAAACAACTTGATTTATTCTTAAGAAATGGTAATTCATGAGAAAGAAACGAAGGAAAATAAAGAAAAAGTGGCTTTATACATGTCACCCAAACATGTAAGTAGTTGAATTTCTATGCACAAAAAGAAAAAGACTTCTTCATTCAGAGAAAATGTTTTTCTAAAAATCTACTTAATTTATTCCTGTTTGAATTTAGAAAACCCATTGAATCCATAATCAATAAAACAGAATTTTGAAAAAGGAAAAGAGTAATCAGCATCAAACAGAACAAAGGTAAATGTACAAACTGATCTCGCTCATGCACAAGAGTGTCCATCAATGTGGGAAATTCCTTGCTCATTTCTTGAATTATGAGTGTGAGCATGTCAACGTCGTCCATATCCTTCAACTGAAGACAAAAGTACGGTTTGTTTTGGAATCAGTTTCTAAATGCCTCACAATTAAAAAGAGAAATAGAGGAGAATGGGCACTTGTGAGGAAAAAGAGAGAGATGGAATATGAAATGATACCATTTTGGTTAGTTCCTCGGGGCCTGGCAAAAAGAAAGCTTGAAAAACGAAGGAGTAAAGCAATTTTATCTTATGCCAAAGTGGCATTTTCGCCCATGCCCTCCTTATTGTAATCTGTTGCGTAAACGTCAAAATATTACAGATAATTCGGGTATATAAAAATAACAAACTGAAAGTCACCTCGTTGAAGAATATGAGATAAGGATATAAATTGAAATAACCAGAAAGAAAAGGTAAGGAGACAAGTCCTGCTTAAAAACTAACAGAGGAAAAATGCAATAGGAATAGAATGTCATCTAATCGTAAGTCTGCACATTTGGCAAATGATTATCCGTTCAAACAAAAGCAGGACCAACCAAAGCACACAAAGAGGATGGACAATAATATGGAAATGATGGATGCAACCGCCGACACAATATAAAACACCTTTAAAGCGAACATTATACGATAATTAAAGCCCTTAAATGTGCTTTGAGGCTTGAGCAGACCAGGAATTGTCTTAAGAACAGACTATTATACCACAGCAGAAAATTCTTCAGGGTAAATTACTCTCAAAGAAGCAGATTAGTTGGGACAATCAAATTGACTTTTGAAACAAATGTAATAGAACAATAAAGATGATTAAAAGGGATAATTTATTCAAGAAATCCCATCACCAAGAAGATCATACCTGTACTGGACGATCACCAAGAAGGACCTTACCACCATACTTCATTGCTTCTTCATAGGCTACACGAAACTCAGAACCAGGAAAAACTTCAAGTTTATTGGCTACCTAAGATAAAAGCAAGACGTATAATTCGAATAAGACACAATCTTTCAATTGAATTGTAAAACAAATTAAGTGTAAAATATATAGAACATAAAGAAATAACATGCCTTTGCAAGAAACCAACTGTAGAGAATACCAAAGATGTTATGCTTTTTCTTCCACATTTCAACCATTTCTCCCATAGTTGGAACCTGGTGAACTAAAGGTCAGGAAGAGCAAAAATTGAGAGATAAACAAGAAGCCTACTCATGCTGTACACCAGCAAATTTGTATAATCGATGTTATTAAGTAACTAGTGTGATTATTCAAGACTCATGTTCAGAACCCTAAACCAACAAGCTATTCGATTGAATTTGAAATAATCGCCACAATCAAATTACAACCGTACCTTCAAATTCTGAGGTGTGAGAACAGCCACTCGGCTCGAGCATAATTCCAAGAAGACAACCTGCATATGCAAGGCATTAAATGAACAAACACGAAGGCAAATGCAACATGTAAAAACGCCTTTCGAAAGCGGGCTGCTGACCTGCAGAATCACCCATCTTTCAATCTAGTATAACTGAGTTTCAAAAAAAAGAGGAAGCACCTGAGGTTTCAAATAACTGATTACAGCTTGAACTTCTCTGCACGATTCCTGCACCCATACAAGTGATCTAATTCATCTCTAACTCGAGTACTCCAATCAATCTTGTCAGCTAACAACAAACAAAATTCCGAAAGGGGTCTAGCAATCTCACACCAATCCATATTTTCCTTCTCACACCCTCCAAATTTCTAAATGAAAATGCAACAAATACAAGCCAATTAATCACAATCGAAAATCAAAAGGTTACTTGAGAAACGTGTGCTGTTCCAACAAGGTAGACATCACAAATGCCACCCTCATCAGCGGTCTCGCAAGTCAATACCACCACGCTTCTAGAAAGCTCCTCCGGAAGGACTCTACTCTGCTCCGTCAAACCCTCTTCGGCCTCGGGCAAAATCACAGAGGCTGCCTCGTCATTAATCTGTTCTTCGGTAGTACTAACAATACTCTGAACCAAACTCTCGATATCGGGATTCTCGATGTGGACAAAATCTTCCACAGCAGGGGAATCAGATTCCGGAGGAACCGGGTCCATCGCCTGGGGCAGACGGGGAGGCCGACGGGGAGGGTCAGAAATTTTGGACAAGAAAAATCCGAATCTGAGTGGAGTTGAAAAATGCCGGTGGGTTTTGAAGGCTAGGGCATGATTAGGACGGCGGAGATGAGGTTTGACGGTGGCGGGTTCAAAGAGCCATCGTGACTCGAACGAGTTGGGCTGAGTTACAAAACGAGTCAATCGATTCATATACCTCGGCCGCCTAGTCTTACCCGCACTTCAAGATTCAATATATATACAATTAAATGACAAAACATTTTTCGTGTGTCAAATCACGCGTGTCACGTTCTGATTGGTTGTTCGACGCAATAATTTTGCCACGAATGCAGCCGTAAAAAACAATTAATATACTTATATTTTGGACAATCACTTTCGGTTTTTCAATTTGGAATTAGTAATGGAATTTCTAATTTTATTTTTAATTGACTTAACTTTTCATGCTATTACTTACCGTATAATAAATAACAAAAAATATATTTATTTTATTTTATTATATTTGGGGTTATATATATATTCCCCCCCCCCCCCCCCCCCCCCCCCCCCCCCCCCCCCCCCCCCCCCCCCCCCCCCCCCCCCCCCCCCCCCCCCCCCCCCCCCCCCCCCCCCCCCCCCCCCCCCCCCCCCCCCCCCCCCCCCCCCCCCCCCCCCCCCCCCCCCCCCCGAATTAAATAAAATTGCATTATTTTGGAGTCATAATATAAAAATTTAATATAGTAAGTAATAAATATATTTTTTTCTAAAATGTTCTTAACATTTTCATTAGTATCAAAATATTATCCTAATTTATCGCATTTAATTTAATAGTTAATTACCATTTTTGTCATGAGATCTATTTCAAAAACTATTTAATTTTATGATATTTTTTATAATTATATTTGATTTCAAAGTATCATATTCTAAGATTCTTCAAACACAATTTAATTTCTTAATATCAGTTAAAGTAGAAACCATGCTATATTTTTATATTAATTTGAACCCTAGACAAGTAACAATTTACTTATTATGGTATAATTAGTTGTATTAATTTAAAAATAATGAGAATTTATTCACTATTGATCAATAATTAATTGAAAAGATAAAATTAATGAGAAATCTTATTAAATACCAACATTTATAACAATGGAGAAATTAAATATGAATTGAACAAAAATTACAAATTATTACACAAAATTAAATAAAAGTAGAAAGACGACCCAGAGGGAGTGACAGAAGGGCGAAGAGTCCGCAACGACAATGACACGATCTTTAACCTGAAAAATAATCCATCACTACCCATGCTTCGCTGAGCAATAATTCAGACCAAAATGAAAAAAATACAGAAAATCTCAGATTCTATTAGCAATTTCAAGCAATGGATCATGATCATATTGTTGAACAAAAATGCAAATCTGAACTAATGGGATACGAAGAGGTTAGCTCCCAAAGTGAAAATGTATGAGGTGTTTCCACGATTGAATGGGATTGAGGCTAACCATCAATCAGGATAGCCACATTACTGATATTGCGTCCGAGCCATTATGCCAAGAGGAACTGGAAAAATCCCCCAGAATTGGTAATGGACGCACTGTGCTGACCCCTAAAAATTCCCTGCCTATATCATTCAAAAATGCTAAATTAAATGTAATCAAACAAAGAAGCTCAGTGGAAGGAGAAGTCGTTTAATATACAGGCTCACGGCATAACTCGATCAAAAGTTATGGCCACTGCCCACAACACGTCCAAGTGCTTAACATCATCATTGCTTCTTGTTCAGCAAAATCAATTATACGTCATGTAAAAGCATAAGAATGAATTACCGATCACAAACATTCAAACGAATCTACACTAGATCATGAAAAACAGGCTTCAGTGTGTGTAACAGTCAGATCATTGATAAACTCACTGAAATCCGCTAAGATTATTTGAAATATCATCATAAGCCCGTATAATCGAACACGAAATTCAAAAAATATCAAACAAAACTACGATTCTACCAAATTTAAGAGAGTGCTCAGACAGCCAAGGGTATATTAATCAGATTCAAGGAATTGACCCAGATCAGAAACTCTAGTCCACGAAAATTGCGTCATCACGGCACCTCGGCGCAGATAAAAAATATAAAAAGAAAACGAGCATCGAAGTTGAAGGAGAAAGAACAAGGGTTTCAAAACTACGCAGCATGAAAAAGTAGGCTATGCACTAAAACCTCCTGTGTTTGGATGGAAACTTGAACTGCAGTGTGGAAAAGAACAATTGAGAAATCGACGATGTGATGAACATGGTCCAATGGTGAATTTATAGGCCATCGTCTAAGAAATTAGGGCTTCCCGTATCGGCAAGTTTAGGGTTTTTCTTGATTTCATCGGCGCAGAACTGGGCTGGGCCTCAACATTAGTAATTTAGCCCATTAAAAAAGGCCCATGGACTCAAACTTCGAGCTGAGCTGGGCCTCAATATTAGTGATTTAGCCCATTAAAAAGGTCCATGGACTCAAACTTCGAGCTGGGCTGGGCCTCGACATTATTAATTTAGCCCATTAAAAGAGGCCCACGGACTCAAATTTCGAGTTGGTTGGTTGGGTTGTTTAGTTACTTAAAAAATTCATTAATAACTAAAATCTCATAAAACTCAAATATCAAACGTCTTCTCAACCACAACACATTCCTAACATCGATTGACTAACATCGATTGCAAAAGTCAAAGTTTCTTATAATATTCATAATACTCTTAAAAGCATAATTGAGTTGTAGCTTTTATTTTCCAGTTGATCGGGTTCCCGACTAAAAACCATGAATCGACCTTAATCTTTATAATTTGGGTTGGTTAGTTCGGATCAGCCAGATTTTTCAAATCATATGAATACCTGTATTCAAAATTTCAAACATCGGTAGAAATTTAAACCTATTATTTTTAATAAAACCTTTAATGTCAAATTTATCATATTCAAATGAATTAGTTGCGTAAAGAAAAAGGATGAATACGCACTCTATAACAACAAGCACAAAAAACGCGTCTATATAGGCCACTACGTATTTCTTTTTGACTCTTAAAAAAACGATATTTTCCCTCACCATAAGGTGGAAGGGAGCATCAAACCTAATCGAAACTATGAAAATAGTTGATAATTATTGAAATAGTTCGAGATATTTTCATTTTAACTGTGGATAAGATCGTTGAAAGCACATGTGGAACAAACACACACGATGTTTGGTCTATAGAGGAATTGTCAAGGTTGCAAGATGAGTGGTTAATGTTGGGACCCAAAATTGAGTAATATAATTGAGTGACAAATTAAAAGCTTACATTATTTATTTCCCTCTCCCTAATATTTGATTGGCTCTTGTTTATTCTCAATTTATTTTTTAAACATATAAAATTATTTTTTCTTAATTATTTGTGTACTTTATGATAAAATGAATGGGAAGCATTGAATGTGAATCTCTAATAATACTACCATCATCATGATTGAATTTATTCCTATTAAATATTTGAATCTATAGGATTTCACAATAGATTTCACTTAATATTTAAAATAATTGAGGTGACAATGATTGAAGTTATGTTATTACCTATACATAATATTACTAAGTTATGGGATCACGCCCACCTCTTGTGGATATTATACACGTTGACTCGTTCATGTCATCTTCAAACGTATCTACTGGGGAGAGGATTCCACACCCTTATAAGAAATGTTTCATTTCTCTCTCTAACTGACGTAGAACCTCACAATCCACCCTTTGGGGCCAACATCCTCATTGGTATACTGATTGGTATTTAGCTCTAATACCATTTGTATCAGCTCAACCCACTGCTAGTGAAGATTGTTCGCTTTGATTCGTTACGTATCGTCGTCAGTTTTATGGTTTTAAAACGCACCTACTATACTAGAGAGAGGTATTCACATCCTTATAAGAAATGCATTGTTCCCTTCTCCGACCATGTGAGACCTCACAATCCACCTTTGGTGTCCAGTATCCTCGTTGAGGCGCACGTCCTTGTTGGCACACCATTCGGTGTTCAACTTTGATACTATTTGTAACAGTCAAAAACCCACTGCTAGTGGATATTATTCCCTTTGACCCATTTTGCGGTCAATCTCACAATATTAAAACGGGTTTACTAGGGACCTCAAAACTAGTCAATATGAAAAGTCGATGGTCCTAGGTAATTCATTTCATGTGCTGACCAAAGACAGACACAACTCAACAATTTACCAACAAGTCTTAGGTAATTCATTTTGTAATTTATTCATATAAGTGAAGTCAAATTCATAATTAATAAGGTTCGATACAAGGATAGGTGGTATGTATTGTAGCTTTAAGAGAAAGGGTCCGAGTCTAAACTACCATACTACTACTACATCACGAGGTCAATACTCTCGACCGTCTATTTATTTATTTTATTTTATTTTATTTTATTTCTAATTAAAAGTAGGAAGAAGAACAATAATGAAGTTTTATTTTATTTCCAATTAAAAGTAGGAAGAAGAACAATAATGAAGTTTGTTTTCATGCACAGATAATTTATTCAAATCAGAATCTTATGAACACCACAAGAAAAAGAAGTACATTACAGCGGAATTCCCATTATTCAATTCATAAATCTCCCAAAGCTCTTAAAAGTTCTAAATCAAAATCATTCAAAGGTCACATCACACGCGAACTTATGCCAAGAAATCAGAGGAACTACGATTTAGAGCCGATCATCAACCCATGAACCGATTAACTATTCACCACGCCGCATCGCTTTCTGATTTCGCCTTCAGTACCAGTCTTCACGTTAATCCGACCCATTTTCTCCATGGCTGCAGCAAATTCAGCGAAGAACTCTTCAATGGGTCCTTCGACAAGTTTCTGAACTAGACCCAATGAAGTTAAGTCTTTAGTGAGAGCAGAATCGGATTGGAAAAGGCCCCTTCGTTTGAGAAGAAGAGAGTAGTAGCTAAGGTCAAATGTTTTACGACTCCCTGGGTCCATTTCCACTTTGCTGTTGTCGGTGGGAGTTTTGCATTTGTTGGCCTTGAGATTAGCGGCGTATCTTGGGTCCAGAGAGGGGTCTTGGTTACCGACGCCGGTGAAGTTGTAGAGTCGGTTGCGGAATGATGAGCAATGGGCTATGCCGATTGTGTGTGCGCCTGTAGTGATAAGTGCACGCAAGGTGTTTGAGAAAAGTACTGAGAAAAGAAATGAGTAGTTTTTTAAGTTTTAACTCACCAGATAGTAATACCAAGTCCTTAACATCAAGGCCTTGGTTTCCGAAAAGGGTTTGGAGTCTTGAGAAGTTTGAAGATGGAGGAGGAATGTTGGCCGTGGCTTCTGATGACCTTGAGATCACTCCATCCCTTCGCCCTGTTGGAACTTCCCAGTAAGGACCTCCCTGCACATTGAGATGAACATGTCTATCACACAAGGAAAATGGGTCGCTTTCTTTTTCATCTTTCGACAAGAAAACAGAGTGAAAACAGGCTTGAACACTGAAAAAGTAAGAGTATTCGATCGGTTTGTGTGGATCCTTACCGTGGCTACAATGGTATCTCTAGTAACCAAGGAAAGAACATCAGCACAAGACACAACTCCAGGGCATTCAGCTTCAAGTAAGCTTTTAACTCTATCAATGAAGTCAAAACCTCTGAGTGTTCGATTTGGAGGAGCATCCTTCTCAGCTTGGTTATTTGAAGTGGTGTTAATAAGAACCGATGCATCACAACCCTGTTAAGCAACTAATCAAAACGAGAGAATTCTGATCAAGATGGAAATGATAAGAAACCTTACCCTGACGAAGCAATCATGGAAGTGCATTCTAATGAAAGTTGCCGCCAGCGAAGGAGCATTATGGATATGCTGATGAACAAAGTCCAGCACAATCTTCTCAGCGTTTGGGCAGCTATTGGCATAGAAACCAAGCTGCAACTGAGCTTGAGTGGAGCCTATGAGGCCTATCAGACAAACTATAGTGGCCAACACCAAAGAGGTAAGTTGCCTCATTTTCATTCTCAGAATTTACTTCTGTTAGTATGTCTTCAACCTGTTTACTTGGCATTCCATAACAGAGGGAAGAGGCTTATATATCCTAACAAAACAAACAAGACAAGGAGCAAAATGTTGGGACAGGTCCAAAATACAATTAAAATATATTCTAGGTGGAGTTTTAGAGTAATCTAGACCTGATTAGTTAGGCACATTCCTTGTAGGACAACAGGAACAGGCTCCTTTTATTATGCCACTGTTCAATGGTAGAATGTGCTCACAGCAAAGAATCAAAATTCCTTCTCTTTTTCTTAACGCAATGGCATTGTTTAGTCTGAATATAATTGTTTACAGAATAGCAGTAGTTAGCGAAGATTATCATTAAATCAAGGATCAGTGGCCCACTTAGAAAGATGATTTCAACACATACAACTAAATCCAGCTAAATGTAGGGCCTGTCTAGAAAATTCTTAGATAACATTCACCATGTATCCCTCCATTATTCTTCACAAAAATTTATCAAAATACTAATGAAAAGAAAAAGAAAAGAACCTCTCCTTTTTTTAGGGATTTATGTGAAAACAACCACTAAAACCAACTCGCTCTCCATGTGTTACTTACCCGTAAACTTTGCATTCAACTCTCGAAACATTCTTTATAAGAGTGTTGAAACCTCTATTTTGTAGACGTGTTTCGAAATCGTGAGGCCGATAGCGATATTAGCAGGTTAAGGCAAATAATATCTATTAGTGGTGGGCTTGAGCTGTTACAAATGGTATCAGAGCCAGTCACTGGGCGGTGTGCCAACGAAGATGCTAGACCTCCGAGGGGGTGAATTGTGAGATCTCACATCGGTTGGAGAGGGGAACGAAGCATTTCTTATGAGGGTGTGGAAACCTCTCCCTAGTATACACGTTTTAAAATCGTAAGGCTGACGGCGATAAATAACGAACCAAAATAGACAATATCTATCT